TTTCTAGACAAGCAGAAACATCATAAATTTTTTCTATGATTCACTGTAATATAATTTTTTTGTTAATTATTACAAAAGTTTATTTTTACATCATTTTGCACATTTTTTTTTCCATCTCGATTGTAGTTCCCGTGGGTTTCCCATCACCAAATCACCCGTGTGCCACCACCATTATTGTAATATAATTTTAAGTAGTTTTTTGTTTGTTGGTGCTGTTGAGTTTTATTCAATTAATTTCAATTTCTCACTATCAAATTTTTATTAGCATCTATATTCTAGTCAGAATCTGTTTAGTATCTGTAGACTTATGTATGCTGAAATTAAAAACTGCATTTTTAGCTTTTCTAAAAATACATGAAATTTGGTTTATAATTACCTTTATATATATATACTATAAGCTATAATTATGTATAATATATGTAATAATATATAAAACTATAATTATATTCTATAGAATGTGTAATTCTATATGTATAGAATTCCATATGAATGTAATATAATTCTATATATATAGGATTATACATTCTACAGAATAAATAAAGTAATTTTTAAATGCATGTAAGGATAAAATTTATTTTGGATTATTTCCCACTTAACCTACTTTCCTGGTAAATTATACATATAATAAACATGTGTGCACATTACTTGCACACAAACACCCATCATCCATTATCATTTCACCTTCCCCCAAGATTCCTGGAAAGAGAACATATCAGAATCAAGTCCTTCAAGAAAGCATTAAAGTTTCAATTGTCACTGAGCACTCTATAAAGACTATCTCTCAAATGGAGTAACAATTTATTTTCCCTTTATGTTTAATGCTGTATCAGAGAAAGAAATTAAATGCTTATGAAAGAAACAATGAGTATAAAGATAAGGAGCCCTTGAGGGAATAGAGGTGAGGTGTAGGAGAACAGAGGTTGACGCTGATCATCTTTCCTCTCCTAAGAGACCAAATCGTTATGGCTTCAGTATCTGTTAAAGTCATAGTTCAAAGTGTGAGTCCTAGTTCAAAATTTGAGACAGTCCACAAAATAATTTCTTCACCCAAAACTTCAACCTTACAAATATATAATCGCAAATCTATCCAGACAAGAGGGGTGCCATCAAAGCTGATACGTTCAATGAGTCTTGTTCATATATTTTCCAAAAGAAATATGATGTCTGTGGTAAGACCTAAAGCATGAACTGGTGGTAACTGAGGGATAAAAGGGAATGAAAAGTCTTATCTCAAGCAAAGGAAAAGACTGCAAAGGCACTGGTAAGACTGCAAAAGCACTGATGCAGGAAGAAAAGCTGACACCTCTGTGTTTCCATTATGGTGATGAAGATGAGCACCTCAGCACGTAAGATAAGGAAAACAAACAAAGTTCTAAGAAATAGCAGGTAATATTGGCACTATTTCTGGATGAATTTGATATGATGTAGGAGAAAGTAAACAAATAATAAGATTCTATGTTACTATAAAATGTCTACATCTTCATTATCACCTATGAAATTGCTTTGCTTTAAATGTTTATACTTTGGAGCACTCCCTGGTGGTGCAAGGGGTTAAAGCATAGCACTATAAAGCTACTGCAACCACTACAGCATGAGTGTGATCCCCAGCAAGGGAGGTGACCCACATGGCGTGGCAGACCTCTCCTGACCCACCTGCTGATCCTCTCAGCAGTATATTTCAGTCATTCTGCCTGTTCTGCTCCCCAATGTCTTCAGTGAATCCTCTCACCCCCGGACCTCTGGCCTGTACCCCAGTTCTGTATGCATAAATAAATCTTTTTAAAAATGTTTGTACTTCGGTAATTATTTAAGAAATAAGTGCTCTAGTAACACTATTATTTCTAATAGTACAGCACACTATTTCTAATAGTATAAAAAAATAGGCTGAAGTGTATACAAAATAAATCCACTGATTTCTTTTGTTTGACAAAAGGAAATAACATATATGTGCACCTTTTCTGCATGAAGAAAAGTTATGCTACTAAGTGGACCGATGACAACATGATAAGGTGAACAATGGAATAAATGCAAAGTAATGGTAATAGATTTAGAAGATTAAGAATGTTAGTCACTTTTACAAAAACCAGAGTGAAAGTATTTGTTGAATGAATGCCAAAAGTCACTGCCTAAATGGTAAAAGGGTCCATCCTGGTGGTGCAAGAACTTAAAGGCAGCATTGTGAAACTCTCCACAGCCAACACAGAATAAGATGGATCCCTAGCCAGGGAGTAGACCCACATGGCTCAGACCTCTCCTGTCCCACCTGCTGCTGCTCCCCTCAGCAATGTATTTCAGTACATCTGCCTGTTTAGTTCCCTGCTATGTCTCTGGTGATTCCTCTCACCCCGCACTGGCCTGAATCCCAGTTCTTCTGTGCATAAATAAATAAATAAAATCTTTTTTTAAAATGGTAATGTAAAACATAATAGTTTTTTTTACTTTTTAATGTGGTAATCAATTTTTTTCCCATTTCACTGTGCTTACACAGGTATCAGTGACAAAGACTGGAACTCAAAACAAAGAAAAACACATTCTGGGAATCAGGGCTCTGGTAATTTATAATGTACCCAGGAAATAGATTCAAACTACAGTGTCTAGGCAGTAATCGACCACATTCAAACCAATATTGAAAATAAATGACTAGTCAAGCAGCTGACTTTATATACAAAAAGCCATACATAAGTTCATCTATTTATATAACTATTATTAATGCCTCTCAATGGTCCTGTAAGGCCTCCAGCTATTTCCTCAATTTCTTTCAAGAAAATGCCTGTGAAGCTCTCCTCATACAGCTGCCTGGGAATGACAATAATGTATTACTCTTGTTTTAAATAACTGCTGTTTTATTTACTGTAAAAAGTGGGCTGAATTTCCGGCACTATTAAAAATGTGTAGAATTGGGCCCTTCCTGGTGGCACAGCGGGTTAAATAAAGCACAGCACTGAGA